TGGGATAGGTAGGTATATGTTATATCAACACTTTATATAGTGTTTAGCCAGTCATCTGTCTACCCATCATTTCAAACAGCCACTCCATATTTAATACAGACACACCATTTGATTTAACAGGCTACATTTTCAACAAACCGTCACTTGTGATTCAAAAAATTCCGTTTTTTACAAAATACCATTAAATAATAAGCAAATATAGACTACAAGTCTGTGGCCACAAACCATCAACTACAACCTTGCATTTCAATATAAAAAGTATATTTCAAGCAGGCACTTTTCAATTTCTAGATATACTCGTAACACTGACCCGAAGCAACACAAACTTAAGTTAAATGATAATTTGAAGTATTACATTTGTATTACCTGTTAACCTTATTTGAAGCCTTTAATAATGTAGTAAAATGATCTATGAAATGGATTCAGCAATTACGACATTCAGCGAACATGACTTACCTGGAATGACTACAACCCCGACATGTAACACAGATGTTACAAGTTCCCATATAACATGTACAAATTTAAAGCGCGGTGGTCGTCGCGCAGCGCGTGTTCAAATTTCATGTAAATAAACAATGTATTTTACACGTGTTGTATACGTCGCTATGAGTCACATATCGAACAGGTCGCGGCACGACGACTGCCGCCGTTTAAAACGAAAAGAACAGGACAACTTAAGGAGCAGGTGCTCATCAAAGTTTTGATTAATAATAAGTAGGCCATATTAGAAACAGCAGTTTAGTATAACGACCATATACTGGTTATTTAATAGTTTGGGTTATCTTTTGACCAGTTTGTCCCAGATAACATTAGTTGGATGCAGTGGCGGCACGAGGGGTGGGGTCGCCCCCTCGAAAAAAAATGTTGGAGGGGGGGGGGCGCCCCTATAAAATCAAGCTAAAACCTTTTATTTCAGCGAAATTTGCCCTCAAAATGTAGGAAATAGCGTTTCAGATGATCTAGATTTCGAAATTTTTAAGGGGAGCATGCCCCTGGACCCCCTAGTAAAGTCGCGACTTCGGCCCGATGGATAATGAGCAGATCTTGCCGCTCCATGCAAAATTCATGCCGCCGTCTCTGGGATATGTGCAGTTTCAATAGTTCTTTGGATATTATAGTTATGCATATTAATAAGATCCCATGACCATACATCGAATATGTGAATGTATTCAATACAGCAATGTTTACATGTCTATATCTTCAATAGTGCTCGAAATAAGAGACATGCATATCTAATGAGGTCTATGAGTAAGGCCTCATGAGGTCTATATTTGGCCTGTTATCGGATTAAAATAATTATCTGTAATTAACGAACGAAGTGATTAAAATAGTTATTTTCGGCAAATGTTTTATGTCGTTATATACACGACTGAAAAGTGAACAATATTGACAAAGTTACGTCAGACGGTCGTAAATATTGTAGTGCTGGACCCTTGTTTCGCTAATTAGCGAAACGAACCATTTACTTATTAAAACATTTTTATTTTCGGCAAATGTTATATACACGAGTCGAAAGGTGGAAATACTGGTCATTACAAGTTTCGTCCGACAGTTGTCGATATTATATAGAGATGAATTGTCGCTATGTGCATTCTTCTCAGAGGCGGTGGCATGGCCTCTACTCACCAACCTCGCACCGAAGCCGTGACCTTAACTAGTGGGGTCAGGAACGCATGTTCCCCCTTAAAAAATGTCTTGCATTTTGAGGGGCAAATTTTACTGACACAAATGGTTTCAGCTTGATTTTGGAGGGGCGATTTTTTCCGTGCCGCCGCCACTGCTCTTGCTCCGTTTCATCGATTACAATAGACCCTGAAGCGGACATGCCTCCCAAGTACAACCATTTGTTTATGTTGTAAAACGCCGAGTCATGCCTAAAATCACTGATTCTAAATAAACAGCATAACCAAACAAGTAACGAACGAGTGTCATTTATATGTTCAATCAGATATTGTGGAATTAGTTTATCTGACCACGGTTACAAGTACTCGTGATCTGACCCACATTTGGCAGACTTTGAAACATTTTCATTCATGCCTCGGTCATTCACCGACAGAATAATGCTCCAGTCAATGTCAACTAAGTGGTTTAGTGGGGGATTTGGAAATTATTGTTGTAAAATTTGCGAAATGCCCCACCTCCTGGGGCAAGATGGATAGGCAAATCCCCACCCAAAACAACCCCCCCACATTTCTCCCACCGATCGCCACTGTCCGCCATGCTTGCTATCAGCAGAGTACTGGCGATGACGGGACACGAAACACAGCTATTACCCCACCTCCACGGGCACAGTTTGGCGGTAAACACTGTCTAATGCCCCACATTTGTCCCGTATTGCCCGAGGTGGAAGGGGTCGGGGTTGACATTGACTGGAGCATAAGGGCACACAAATAAATGCGCCGCCGGCATATGAGGATCACATGATAGGTTAAATGGCTGGGGCATTGGCCATTGGGAAAAAAAACAGCCATGTCGAAATAATACATACTATTGAATATATATGAAAAATTCTGATGGTTTACGTTACGATGATTTTAAATACTCACTGTTGATTGTCAGTCACCGACAGAAAGATATTCAAAGAAATGAATAGTATGTGCGCATGCGCGGGTATTGTGGCTGTGTAATCAGCTGGCATACGATGTCTTCTGTGTTTGTTTTCCGCGCATCTATGATTCGAAGATCATTTCTGTTACTTGGACTTGTTCCCATGAGTTGTTAATAACGCAACTTTAACCATATTATAGGCAAGGTATTTTTTTGTTTTTAAATGTTGAATTATGACGATATTTTGTGGAGTTTTTCACGGCATTGGGCATCGTTCCGTGTGACCGGATATGTTTATTGACTGTCATATTTATACCTCTTCGCATGCGGTATCGTCGAGGACGAGCACAATTCCAGAAGCAAAATACACGCCCTTCAATCGGGGTCGTTTGCTCGGTATATACGAATTGGTATATACAAATTACAAAAAAAATATTTAAGACATTGCCAATAAGGTGGCACAAATCACGTGACAATATGATATTAACTGTAATAAATTCTAGCTTGTTAAACAGAACGATCATATATACTACGTTCACGTTACGGGATCTCGACACGTGCCGACATTTTTAATCCTTTGTGTTTGCAGAGGGATTACAGCAGTTGCGTTCACGTTGTCCGGGACCCACTTAGAACTGACTTGGCTCGTGCCAAAATCACGCCCTCATTCGTCGATCTGTTGTTTGGCCCAAACATAGAAACGTGAACGCCACTATAGTCAGTGGTGTTACGCCAAGGTCACGAATTTCGTTGCAGTTGCCGCGCGGTTGAAACTATGTCATAACGCTAACAAAATAAAAATAAAACGGGGAAGCGGTCACATATTACGGCGTGGAAAACACGACAAATGAAAAACATCATAATACAAACGCAAAGGGTTCGAATCCGACTCGATATTTAAACACTTCCCGGAACTAAAGCAATCGTTTTAGCTTTCCCATTCAACTAACCTGGACACCATTGAAGTAACTTATATAGCACAATATAACATTGCCGACAAATGATAGTTCCACGAAAAGACGTCGGATATATGTAATTGATTCTTCTCAGATTAGAACTAAATAATAACTTTCAATCGACGCAGCGTTGACTTCTACGTTTGACCTTATGGACCATGTCAATGACGTAATGGAGTGACGGGGAAACCCCTGATAAATACTTGTAGTTCATACAGCTTTTTGACGTATTTAATGGTTTTTACTGCTTTTGTTTTTCGCTTTAAGTGTTTAAGTTGAAAATAATGTAATTTGTTTATTTGTATTCTAACTAGTCTGGTGTTTGGACTTTTATTAAAAGTTCTTTTTGATCGCTTGAAGTTTTGTCTCTTCAATGACTCAACGAAATCAATGCACCCAGTGTTTGCGTTGTCGATGTACGCTGCCGGAGACGGTGGAAACATTTGGCTTTGAATTACAACAAAAAAGAATACATGTGATAAATAGGATCTCATATTCGTGACCGTGTAATATCAGATTTATTAAACATATGAAAATTACTACACTCATTTAACAAATCCGATATAACACGGCCACTCATTGGAGATCCTCTATTTATTTACAATTTACCGTTATTATTTAGAAAACGTATTTTGATAAATTTTCAAGGTTTTGTGGAAAACTTAGTTCAGTGACCATATTATTTTTATTTTGAATTTTGAGCATTACAGTAACCCAACCCCCTTGTTAGATTTCAAAGATTTCTGAATAATGTTTTGATAGTAGAAAACTACCTTAAGGATTGTTACCGATTAAATGGTGGTATGTGACGTTCTTCTATCAAAGCAGGAGGGTCGTCACTTGCGCACGCGCGGAATTTGAGTCCCAAGCAATGATAACAACACACGCTAAAAACGCAGACTCATTGATAGACGTTTGTTTGTAAACAATGACACGCTATGAACATCTGACGCATGCGCAGATGACGACTCCCCCGCTTTTAAGAGACACAAACATACCCAATGCTAAAGCTAGATACTGTATTGTCGACCACCACCCTTTAACAGACACGTTGTGATTCTAAAAGACATTAGACGTAGTCAATGATGTTGTTTACGTTTGTAAAAGTTAAAGCTAACGGGTGCCCGACTATACATGAACATGTAATCAGCGACAGATACGGGTCTAACTCACGTTTTTTGTCGGCCATAAACATATTTACATTATATTTTACAAGAAGCAAACGTGATTGGCATGCTGTTTTAACTTCGCTCCTATATAAACTCAAATCCCCTCATTACTGCTTCATTAGTTCCCGTTGCTATTTCGTTTACGTCATTTTATTTAAAAAATGCAATGCAGTGTGGATAAAATTATTATAGTTCATTAACAAAACATTCGATTCGATTCGATTCACTACCAATTCTACCAAATCTATAAAAGAGAGCAACATAATTTATTTAGAACAATTAATTTGATGAATTAAAGATATACATTGGTGATATTAACATCTTCTCCTTATTTTATTCGTTTAAATGTAGCCATGAGTTGGTCTCTATTAGCAACAACCCACTGCTCCCAAGTTTTAGTGTTAGGATCGAGCTTCCTGGTCAATTCGATGTCTCTCACCATCTTTCCAGATTGATAAAATTCGAACATGACTGCAAGATCAGCGGCTCCTGGGAAATCCAAACTGGCAAACTGCTCGGATGTCATCTGGAAATGAAGTAACCATCGGAGAATCGTATGAAAACAAAGCATTAATAGAAGCAGCATTTTGTAATTAAAGCCATAATATACACATTTAAAGTTCACAATATATTTGCATTACAATTATCGTAATAGTTATTTATTTTAATTTAGTAATACCTATAATACTAACCAACAATCATCTATAATGAATATATGAGATAATATAGTAGAATGTTAATTATGTTGTATGTTCAGTCTACAGATGTTAAATGTCACAAACCCCAAGTATGAATATATGATTCAACAATATACACAAAATATACTGTACATTTCCACGATTCGAAGAAATTTACTGATTGAAATTCAGGGCAGATTGATTTGATATGATATGCAAAGACTCAATTTGGAACATGGCATTTATCCTAGCCAAAACTGTTCTGTTACATGTAACAGCTGTTAGCGTCAACGACTCCTCAGCAAGGATGATGCTGGTGAATAGTAATTTCTCCGGGCCAGAACTCCGATTTTGGATTTACGTGATTAAGTGACATAATTTGAAAACATTCTAATTTGCTTTCTAGAAAAAACAGTGTGCACCTCTATTATTTCTGCAGGCTTAGACATATGTATTAGTTCTATATACCGCAATGCAATGCGGCAATGACGTCATTGTAAAGGTGCATACACTAATCGAGTATCTGACATCCGTCCCTGCTGCTCACTATATAGAACAACCACTTGGTGATTAGTGCACAATTGAATTGACATGAGGTAACCAAGGAACACAATGGATCAACCAATCAGAATATGGGGACCGTTACCAGTCATCAACGTCCTGAGGCGTTTTGTCCCATGATGCAGGAACCAATCAAATCACAGATAAAAAAATAGATTTACTATATAACGGAAGTTCCGTTCAAAAACCCATGACACCAAATTGTATGTACAAGGTATACAGAGTTTGAGGGTGCTGTTTCCCAATACTGCTACAATTTGAAGTACATTTTCAACATTATTAAATTGTTGCAATGGTTGATCGCGGCATAAACGAAAGAAATTGACGACTAATCCTCTGAAACAATAGAATAGTGCATGGGCCAATGACTGGCCTTTAGACACAATTGTTTGTTTGGTTAAACAATTCATAACTATTCAGGTAGTAATTCGAGATAGTAATTGATTTCATGTTTAAATAAATCTTGAATATATATTTGATGCCTGACATTAATCAACAAATAATATAAGACACCTCTCGAGGCACTTACATTTCCAGGCTTAAACTGCAGTGGTGAAAGGTGTCTGGTGAGGACTTCTGCCGTCTCTGTTAAAGTACTGAGATCTCCACTGAGTCCAATCTTTTTACCGATATAATCAGACGGATTGTCGAAAACAGACACAATGGCGACTCCTGCTTCCCCTGCACTTATACTATGTATCGGGTGATCTCCCACTGGTATGTCTGCATTTTAAAATAATACACATTTTGAGGTGACCATGTCGTTAACATTCTATCTTGAAAACCAAGATCATAAGTGAGTAAAACTATAACTGTCATGTCACGTCTTGGTTCATTTGCGCTCACGCAACCTATACAACGACGTGTGCTTGTACACCAAATCAGAACGCACGCTGGACGACTGGGACCCACACAAATTGATTCAGCCACTCTGTTACCACTAGACTACACTACAATTTGTCAAATTCTAAAATACTTCTTAGGGTGATTGAATCTCATGCCCCATAACTTCATTCAGTGGAATTCACAAATCGAAAATTCTTCTGATATATGCTTGAGGTCACACGTCGCAAAATGTCAGCAAGTTTCAATATGCATTAATGTTTGAATAAAACATTACTTGGGACGAACATATGAGTACAGCATAAACAGCCGATATTATTTACAAATCATATCATCCAAATTAAGTAAAATCTCCTCATTGGCTGACTTTCAACCCACGCCTGACAGTGCAGAAGAACAACCAGTTATTTCCGTGGCAGTGACCGCTCTACCCGAGCGACCATAATTAGTCAGACAATAAGATTAATATTTACATTGTGGCACACCCAATAAACCATGTTTTGAAGCGTTGCAGTTGTCACGATGCACATTTTACACGTGTTGCACACTTCGTTATTGGACCCATACTAAACACGACTCGGCGCAACAACTGTATCCCTTTAAACAATTCTATATTAATATTTACAATTTTTGTCTGGCAGCCCAGAATTCAATATTCAGTCTTTTTTTGGCAACAATGATTTATCATGAGATAAAAATAATAGCAAGTAAGATAATACTAACAAAGATAAAATTACTGTTTCTAGTCCGCACTCTAATTGAAGAATTGGTTAAACCTACAAAATTGCGACCTCAAACATTTTTGCAACACCCTTGACAAGAAAGAAGAGAGGCATTAGTTTGAAATCATGAAACAAGACAAAAAAAACAAACAAGACAAGACAGACCCCAAAGACCGCAACATTTATAAAGAGCCATTAAAAGACTTACCTAAATAGTATACGCCATCTGGTCCTTTGATTGGTTTTAAATCACCCAAAATATTCTCCATATATTCACTATATCGCACTGATGTATACGGCAAACCAATCTCTGCCATGTACTCCTCGATTTCCCATTTACCATCAAAGTGCTGGCATGACTTACCAAACAATAACTTCACGTTCTCAAGACCACTGAAAACCACATGTTTAACTCCAGCATTTTTAGCCGCATCTGCAAGGTTTCTACCCTAAAAAAAGCAAACATAAGTTTCATCCACATATAATACTTACCACAGGTGAGGACAACTCAGTTTATTAGTGAGTGACTACACCAAAAGCCAAGATTGATGTGAATAAAAATACACCAGTAAACTTGCACTCTTCTTCTAGCTGTTATGTTGCCGTGTAAATGTTTTGCAAACGTCACTCACTCACTGACCCAGTAAAAACCAACACAATTACATGTACATAAATGAATAATCTGATGTAAACTGACACAATATGATCTTAAAGGGCGGTAGTCGTCGCACCACACATGCGTGAGATATATGGATATAAACAAAGATGGTGACTTTGACTGTTGCGCAGATCAACGAGTACAAACTGAGACGTTACCAAGCTTTAATTAGGTATTTTGTAGGTGATTGGAAGGTATCGAAGGAGTCATCAACAGTAATTAATGAAAATTGCGCCCAGGTAAAAGCTCATACTCGTGATTTCCATAAGAAGAGCGCATTGGATTGTGGAAAATCTATGTTCATCAACACACATGTCGCACATGTGCAGCGCGACCACTGTCGCTCTTTAATGTTGCGTGTGAATTTTTAATCCAGATTAACACATAGTGTAGAAATTACCTTATATGGTGTCTATCTGTTTAACAGATCATGTATTGTGTTATATGTATGTACAAAGTGTCTACAGGCAGTCTGACAGTTTGTCACCATAGTGTGCTATGGATCGTACCTATCTCTGATAAGTAATTAATGAATTGTTTGATTACACCCATTCCGGACGCAAATGTGAATAATTGCATTATGTTTGCTGACAGGTAGTCGGTGTAATGTATTGTGTGACATGTACCTGTTTCTGTCATGATTTGTACTACTTTACCCAGATGCCTAGGTGGTATGCATAGTTGTTTATACCTGTTGAATCTCCCTGGATTTGTCAAGGTACTCCCAATAGTTGGTTACACCAAATACTCCATAACAACCTGTTAATGCTGCATCAATACTTGACTTATCATCCAGATCTGCTTTAACAACTTCAGCACCTGAAATATAGTTTGGATTTCACTGTGAAACTCTCCAAAATGTAAACGCATAAAAGTGTATTATGACACATGACCAGATATTTTTTTGTTTTTATTTCAAACAGTAAAGAGTGTTATTGCTAAGCCGAATCAATGTTGGGAGAGTCAACCATACTGATGTATTAGCGAGTCCAACATAAAAGGCGAAGCTTTATGGGAATAAAAATAACACGTGTATGTCATATGGGTTGTATTCCTTCTTGGATTATGCAGATCAAGCTAGTCAATTCTTTAGAAATGTTCGTCAGTCACAACGCTATATTGTTTCTGACAAAAACGGGGCGACTTGTTAATCAGAGAGGGGTATTTGCTTGGCTACTATCCAAGGATATTTTGTACTTTCTTGGAAATCAGACTCCGAGATTCAGACCACCAAGTTTTGATCCTGCTATAGTTGATTCTGCTTGTGAATCAACTTTAGATTTGGCTCAAATTTAGTCTATGTCATTATATATTTGGTATGGTCTATAATGTTTTATGTTCTACTTTGTGTGTGTGTGTATAAATAAAAACACATTTATTATATTTATTTAAATGTTTAAGATGACGTGGTGCCCTACAATGCAAATTCAGCAGTATTGAAAGAAAACTGAAAATGGCTTAGTAAAATATCTGTCTAAAACTACACATTGTCGCTGATCAGATGTGAGCCAAGGTCAATTTAATTCCTTCACTCACACGGTATAGCAGAGCAACGTTCATTCATAAATCAATTCGGTACCTGATTTGTTAAGCTTCCTAGCTTTTGAGCTGTCTGGATTTCTGGTCATTGCTCGCACTTTGTAGTTGGAGTTCTTCAGGAGAGCCCTGGCAACAGAACCACCTTGCATGCCTGTGGCACCAAACACTGCCACTACCTTTGCCATAATGTGTTCTATAATATGATGCATGTAATGAAAAAATGAAGTTTAGTTTCGGCTAATGAAAATGTCTATGTCACAGATCAATGTACAATTCATGTACTTTTCTTAGACCCATTACCCCACCATACGCCTCAGGTGAAGGTACTTGGTAATCGTATTTCAACATCTACGGCGTATCACCTTCAGACGTGAAAAAAAAAATAACTGATTGTTTTGTTGTTGTTGTATTATTTCCTCTTCATTCGTTGTTTTATTTCGAGTGACACGTCTTACTAGAAATTTATGGAGCAAAGCAATTACAGTTTAAGGACATGTATATCTAAATACTTTGCTTCAACAAATCCATCTTTTTATGGCGTGTGCTTTAAGTATTAACCTTTATCCTGTCAACCCCATGTACATTTACATTGACTTGACTTTGTCAGAGTTAAACCATCACCAAATGCTAATGTTGTAATGGACAACTACTTTAAGCTACGAAACAAATTTAAAACCCATTGTTTGCACCAATTACAAAAAAGTACATTATATTATGGGTAACTGTTTTGATCTTTCTGGAATTCAAGGAGGTATCTGAATTCGGTTTTTAAAAAAGTCGAATAAAATTATATTTGTTTTGAAATACAAGCATAGCGCTAGCAACCTTGCAGAAAGTGTCTTTAAAAAGTGTGTGAGATTCAAGTTCTGTCTCATATTATAAACACGTTCGGTCACTGATAATGCTTTAAATTTCTCAGCACAATTAGTACATTGTGTATCATGTGTATCAATACTTGGACCACATATGTAATTCTCTACATCAACGGAGCAGCATCTTGCAAGGGATGATATAATTTTAGTATTGGAATCATCGAATTTAATAGTGTAATTTTAGCAGAAATCTGTGCAAGATTGTCATGCCAGTGCCAGTGTACGTTTTGAACTAATTGATAAATATCCAAAGTAATTAGAGTTGATTACAATCTTTCTGATCTAGGAATCATTATTGATAGTATTTGAAAATAGTAATTAGTATGCAAATTAGGTTTCACCGTGATGATTGTCAGGCGATGTAAATACCCGGATGTTCGCCCGAGAATATACAAAGTATATACTAAGAACAATTGATACGTAAATTAGCTAATTAAAATATGCAAAGATCAATTCAATCATGAAACTACAGAAACAATACACGTTTAAATCTATTTATAAGCACACAGTAAGTAGTTAATTAGCTAAATAATGTGTACAGAATAATGCCAAACTGACATTCAACTAACAGTATACTTATTCTGGGCAAGGCAAACTATTGCCATGATACAGAACATGCAATCTGCACAATTTATAAGCATAGATTTGAAAAAAAAATCACATATTAATCTACACACACAGTTTGTATGTTCTTCAGTTTTATTCCAGTGAGAAAAGTTAACAATATGTAATTAGTACGTATGGACAAATTAATTATAAAAAAAGTTCATTGGTATGCAAATTGGAAGCTCTTATCAGATATTGATCAACGCAAACATCATGTGCCAAGTTTCATGCAATTGTGCAAACAAATGTGACGATGCACAATAGAAATGCAAAAATAGTTATTATCCCAATTACCGTGTACTGTTTTGTCTCAAAACCTACTAAGGTCTGGTATGTATGCTGTAGTACTTGCGTACTAAGTTACATTCTAATTCAGCTAGTGACTCTATCGATGTAACAAAATTTGACACACACAAGAAAGGATGGAAATAACCATTTTTAAAGCGAGAGACTCGTCACCCGAGCATGCAGCAGACGTCCATAGCGTGTTATTTACAAATAATCAGTCACCCATGAGCCTTTGCTCTTTCAGCGTGGTTATTATCCTGTTTGGGGCACAAATTCCTCGCCTGCAAAGGTGACCCATTTTATTTTTCAAAAATTTAGGGTACGTTTACTCGTTGGTTGTATAAGTAAAATAGCCCTTTCATATTACGTCACATCGTCCATTTGGAATTTGATTGTAGCAAGAACGCTAATAGACGTTGTTGCTGAAACGAACATGCCTCTCAGTTTCGTCCATTTATTGACGTCATAAAACGCTGAGTTATGCCAAAGTCACTGCTCTTAAATAAACCCGCTAACCAGACATGCAACTAACGAGTGTAATTAATAATACGTTCGTGGAATTGTTTATCTGACCAATATTTCATATATTTGCTTTCGCTAAAGTAATCTCTGGAACCATTTTATTCATAAGGGACAAGCCTCGGTCATTCACCGAGAGGATAAGTGGACACAAATGAATGCGTCGCCGGCAAGCGTCGATCGCACAGTAGGTCAACCGGCCGGGGCATGGGTCTTTCGAGGAAATAACGGCTGTGCATTGAGGTGCAGTGGTCGGACATATTGCGACTGCTACGTGTGCCTAATTGACGGTTCAATCACAGATGAATCGGGGTAACCTTGCGCAGCGAATACAGTCGAGTGGGTCTATCGACACTGAATGTCTGTGATCTTGTCGGAACCCGGCATACAATTGTCAAAATGAAAAAAAAAAGTACTCATGAATAATTCAGATAAAACGATGGTCTACATTACCAGCCGCTGAACTTCAATAATCACTGTTGATTATCAAATGAAAGGCACACTCGTCGGTAGTTCACGATCACCACCATGATTTCCTATGCCCTCAACGTCAGAGAAAAGTCAAACGCGGAAGTAGTGTGACCTTTTCGGTTTAATTATTACAGGTTTACGGTAAAATTGTTCACAGTGGTACTATATTCAAATACACCATTTAAACCCTTAATCAGTGCGTTTTGACGCGAAAATAACAAGTTTACAGCAGAAGCAATAGTTCTCGATATACTGAAAAATTAAGCCGGAAGTTGCACCCTCAGATAGTGATATAACTCGCCGAATTATGAGCATATCTGAAAGTAGAGATTGTCGGCCTGGCCAATTACTGTTCAGTTTACATCACACAAGCCGAAAAACATTTTATGTGGAACCGTAGACTATTACGAACTGTGACAACTAGGACATAGCCAAGATAACCCAATATTTATAAACGAAAAAACGTCAATAGTGCAAGGACGTTTAGTTACGCGTTCTTTTTCAAATTTACGTGTGATAAATACGCGTAACGTCGTCACCACGTGACTCATACGAGGGAAGAACGACTGGAAATCGCGTTCGGAACGTGCAGGTGCAGTTCTAGACGTTATTATCATTACAAGTAATTCCAAAGACAATTTCCTACAATTGTGCTCGCATATTGATAGTTTTTGTTAATATTGATAGTTAATATATATGTTTTAATAAATATAAATAAAATAAATAAATATTTTTTTTATGATAGTATTTCGTCATGACAGCTGGAACATCTCAGTTGGTGCTAAATTTTTATGTATTTATTTTAGATTTCCTTGTATCATGTTAAACTAAATTATCAGCTAAAATTATTCAATGTTTGTAATTGTGTTTAGTGACTCAAACTTTAATTAACAGGTTTTTGTTTTTGTTTAATGTTCACATTCAGTGACCCAAACTTATTTGTTCTTTTAGCTGGCAACATTGAAAATGATAATAATGAGATAACATCCATGCCATCAACACCAAAAAAACAACAACAAAAAACACGTCGTTATGCTACTTTCATGGTTGATCTTTTGTCTTTTGTTCAAAAAAGACAAGATGATGAGGCTAGTTTCCGGCGAGAGGAGATTGATTTAAAAAAAGAGGAATTCGAGTTAGAACGACAGCGACTTAAACTCGATAAGGAACACCTAGAAAATGATCGAAAAGAAAGAGAAGAATTATGCTGAGACCACTACTTGAACGACCAAATATGGGTATCAAATCGTCCAGGCGATTTGGATAAACCAGCATTCTCAATAGGATGCATAAACCTTCCAATCCAGTTGCAGCAGTCTTGTTTGGACCTACAGTTTTATATTATTGGTTTTGAATAATCTTATATTGGTGACAAATAGTTCTGTTTAGAAACTTGTTGGGTTCACAAATATCTCAGATGTACACCAGATTGTGTCAGTAAAGAAAACGCCCTCAAGCGTTCACTAAACAAAAGCGTTTGCGAACGTTTTGAACGGTGGCGCTTTGTACTTGACGGACAGCAGAGGCCGGAAGGCACACTCCAAACACTGGCGGCACCCTCACTTTCGTTCCTCTCGTTGGGGGTTTTCACCACTGCCAGACCCGTAATTTCCATATGTTCAATAATTTGCATAAAACATGTTGTGATTTCACATTTTCTCAAAATGCAATAGAAACCGAGATATCAATTAATAAATAAATTAAGTAATATTTATTAATATAAATTCGTGCACTGTAGTATGTATTTTCAAAATGAATATGTGCGTATTTTAGAGATAAATTTAGATCTACTTTTTTCAAGAATGGATGTATCTCAATTTTTACATGAGTATCTGGTTGATGTTTGCTATAGTTCTTTGATTGTCGCGAGCAGACAGCTGTTTCCAGGGTAGTTTCATCCGACTTGTTTATTTGTGCTCTTGCGTATAGTTTCAGTTCATGTAGCCATGTCAACATGCACTGCCTGTTTGGGTATAGGAACATACAGACATAATATGTAAGGACATTGAATTAATTCCGATCAAGCAGCACTTGTACCGTACGTAGGGATACGTCCTACGTCCCACCGATCAATACCAGGAAAATGACAATAGCGATATTTTCTAGAAGGAAGGTAAGGTGTTCTTCTTGTTAACAACATAACTCGTAGAGAATTCACAACATCAGTGGTCAACGATGTAAGAATGAACATACGAGGGAAACATTTCTTAAATTATATGGCAATGAAACAACTAATGAAATTATTAATAAGGCGCTGAACGGATCGTGTGGTCTACTCGCGTCAATACATGGATGTCCCGGCTCAAAATAATGGAAATTATATAATTTAATAAACAGTTTGGTAATATAAAGCAAGCATATGTTATTGAATTTAATTATCACGCTCCGAAAGCCCGAAAATCACTAATACTTGTTTCCGGTCGATCGGCTTGCACTACATATATGACAAGAAAGGAAACAAAATATGCACACATTTTTTTAGCTGCCGAAAACCATACCTCAAAATACAAAATAGCTTGTCTAAACCAGTTACGAGTGCTCATAAGACACCGAGGTATTACAAAATGTCGTCCGATCACATATAAATCATTTATTTGTCCAGATTTTACGAATTTATGGCGAAATTTCTGTTTCTTTTGAGAATACCAGCCTTCAAGTTGTGTCAATTTGCGCATGCGTACGCGCCCTCAAACACCATGACTTTAAATTCTTTCTTTACTGTCTGAGTTTGAAATTCTTAACTATGCATAGTCATACGAGATAAATCTGAAGGATCCTATTTGATATTTCAACTAAATCGAGAAAATCAGGTAAGACAAAAAATTGTGACTATTTAAATTATAATTTGTTTAACATAATCACTTTTATCCTACAGTCTATATTAAATTGAGCAAACTTTAAATGTTATTAATGTCACCAATTAAACCTGACACAAATGATATTATTGAATTAAAGGGATGTAATGAAGCCCACAATGAATGGATATCCTACTATCACACACAAGTAACTGAAGTTACAGTGCTTGATGATCGACATGTTTGTTAGTTTTTATGCATTTTTTTAAAACTTTCAGATGAACATCTTTTTGTACTCCTAACCTTGACCCTATTAACCATCGGGCCCCATAGCTGACTACATACATTTAAAATTGTTGGCTGGCAAAATAAATTTTTCTGATCACAATTCACTGTCTGTGACCATGCATATTTTGTCTTCTACTTGCTGAAAGCAATTTGTCAGTCTCAATAATTCTTTGTAATTTTCATTAGAATTGTATTTTTCAGCAAGTCTGCCTTAAATCATCTTCATACTGTAACAGTTGCTTGTCTTGTGGTACCTTAGTAGTACAAGTAAGAAGGCAATACATTTTGATTAAAATCCGATATAGGCCCCTTTTTTTCTAACTAGTTGGCGGCGACTGGGACACAATTTTCGAACTGATTAACGGCAAATAAAACCAAAAAATCAACATTTACAAACAAAAATGTAAATAAATATTATATAAAGGGTCATTAAAAAAATTAATTAATTGGAACCGAATACCTACACCAAATTTTAATCAAATTGATACATTGTTAAACTTTTGAGTGATTGTCGTCAGCTGTGTTCATCAACATTCTTATCTCATTAGTCCCTTTTGCCCATATATTTATATGTCCTTTCTTTCATGATTTTGACAATGTATTTACATTTACAAAATTTTCATTACCATTTACTGGCCAATAAAATATGCATGTCCTTGGAAATTTGCTACCTACTACATCATATTTGTCTATAATCTTTAATGGCATATTATGTATTCTTGTTCAATCACTTTTAAGACATTGTCCTTTGCTTATGCTAGGCCAAAAAATAAATCTGTTTCTCATATCATTGGATTTATGTGTTTGTTTGACTCGGCTGGAAAAATGATGGATGCAATTACACGACAGCAATTTTATTAGCAATGAGAGGCATTTTCATTGCGAATTATGCTCAACTTGAAGGTGATCATTTATCAGGGCCTGGAAACAGATTTTTCCTGGTTTCAGGGCTCGCCAACTAAAGTTTGTGTATGGCATTTGTGATAGGGTGCAGTATCAACATAAGGAATTAAAACAATATTCTGTAGGAAAATCAAACTATCTGCATGAAAATACAAAAAGTCTGAGCAGAACACAAAATAGTTCTGCACAAGTTTAATAATTCCAATATTTGGAAGTCTGTATATTGAGGTGGACGTGGAAATAGTTATGCAATACTTAACTATGCTAAATATATAGATATTGCATTTACTCCATTGGCAGTGTGTGAGATTAATTACACACAGAGGTTTGGTAATAGAAAAGTCAGATTAAAACATTAGTGTACATTACAGTAACAGCTGATTCGATTTGTAGTACAAGGTTACTTCAAATTAAGGAAATGTCACTATTCATTATTATTCACCGTTTTCAATGTTAGTTGTGAATTATGCTAATATTTGTTATATACTACAAATATTTTTGTATTTAACTTGTTACCTTTTTTACGTTAATTATTAATAGTTAATGACTATATCAACGAATTACGTTTCTCAGCATTTAATGTCTTTATACATGAATTAAGTGATAATAAAATTGTTTTACAAGTTTAGAATTCTTAATTGTTTGAAGTTCATTTTATGCATGCTCTGATGATGTATTTGTGTATTATCATAATATTTTTTACCATAGACAATTATCATAAAGATAAAAATGCTTAATGCTGAACAATATGCAGCATTGAAGTTGGCGAAATATTGGGCCAAGCTGGAACAGGAAAGACCTTCATCATTAAAACTTTAAAATGTTATGGCAAAAACATAGCAGTTTTGCCAGCAGACAGCTATCAGAGTTCAATCCAAAGACTGTACAAGCTGGATTGGTATTGATGATGGGCGATACACAAATGAAGAAGTCGTGCTTATTAATCATGATCATTTGAAAGTGAAGAGAGAAGCTGATGTTGTGATTATTGATGAAGTTTCAATGCTGAACCAATGCATCAACTAGAATTTTTATGTTGGCAAATCAGGATGAACATTGGTTTGGTGGACTACAAGTT